TAGCGGATCTCACCAGTGAGTGTAAACGAGTTGAGCGACTTTTACAAGGAAACCAAAATAAAGGGCGTCAAGTGTCGAAAGTTCACTATAGAGATACCATTAAGTCGGAACTTAGTGAGAACCAAATAGTTAAAGTTAAAAAGTATAAAATGTGAAAAAGTATACAATTTTTTTTTAAACATATTCAAAAATAATTGTTTCAATAATAAATATCCAATAATTTTGTGGCATAAAAAAAGATTTCATTATTAAAAAAAAAACACAAAAAAAAAACGTGATTACAAGTTTTTACCAACGAACGGCCTTCTTCATTTCCTTTGTACTGGCAAGAGCGTCTCAACATGATCCTGTGTTGGATGATTTGAATATTTACCATCCTTTGTGGTGGTAAGCACTCTACCACAATCAGAGGGGTTTACAAATGGCGTCCCAAATTGATGATTCTTCCTTTGGTGTACTAAATGAAAATTCTTCAACTAGGGTAACAACAACTTGCTCTAGGCTGTTCGCTGCCTCGAATTGGAATGTGGAAATAGCTTAAAGCTCAGACCACACTCCCATTACCATCTCAATTCCATCGTTTGAGGTTTATTACGAAACTGACAAGAAAACCATCAGAAATTTTAAAAAAGCGAATTGGGCCTTATTTAAAAATGTCTCTGAACGCGACTTTGGCAATATTTCTCTGTCCTCTGATTTAAATAAGGCAGAGATACAATTTCGCAGCATTATCATCAATGGAAGGAATAGTAAGATAACTGCGACTCTCAAAATGGTAAATTGTGGACTACCATTAAAGCATTATCTAATCCTGCACGCTCCAATAATAAAATGATCATTTTTAATGATATCACCTTCCCAGATCCCAAGCATTGTGCACAATAATTTTGATCTTTTCGTGCCCAAAGCCTCGAAAGCTCTTGGGCCTGATGGTATTTCAATCCTCATGCTCAAGCCCCTCGGGCCTATTGACCTTTCAGTTCTGACCCATATTTTGAACACTTCCATCAGTTCTCATATCATCCCAAATATATGAAAGACTGGTAGGATTATCCTTCTGCTGAAATTGGGCTAACCGGCTGGTCTAGGTGAATCATATAGACCAATCTCATTGTTATCTTCAGTAGCCAAAGTTCTGGAGTCTTTAGTACTAAAACAGATTTCTCCTTATATTCATCTAGCTCCCCATCAGCATGGATTCAGGAAACGTCATAACACCATCACTGCTCTTTGTGAGATTACATCTCAAATGCTTGCGAAAGCATTTGAAACAGTCTCTCATTCCATAGCAATGACCATGCACTACCGAACATATTACCAAAGTTTCCCCAGTTAGAGGAAATTAGAGCTTAGTTTTAATTCACAAATCGATTTAATACATCTGGACAGCCCATTCACTATGGAAGGAAGGAACAATAGCACGCAAGGAGCATAAGCTCTGGAACCAACAGTGAACACGAAGCAGCTCAGCAGGATGATGGGCATGATTATGCAGCAAAATGAGTATATGACAAGCTGTATGAATGAGATGAGAACCGAGATGTGTACACTACGCAACCAGACGCGGGAGACAGAGGCACCCGTCATGGAACTACAAGTGCCACGCCGAAGTGTCTCAAGGACGCCCAGAATGTCAACACAGAAACCGGGACTACCAAGCATAGAA